AAATATCTCTGTCCAGATGGGAGACTTTGGACAAACGTGTTTGACAGTGTTCTCCACCACATCATCAAAGCACCAAATAAGTGAATATCTTTTGGGAGAAAGGTGTTCATCCTTTCAGTAGAGTCCAGACATGGAGAATCAACGAGCCAACAGACGATGTCAAACAATACATGTTTGTTTTTATACTTTGGTGTAATGTGTTGCATGTTTTATTTTTCATTTTATACAACATATAACACATATTTCTCAATACTGAGGTCACTTTTTCAGAACTCCACGCAGTCAACACAGTAGAACTCAAGGTGTGAACAAAAGTTCACATGTACTCATAAGACCACGTATTATATCATGACAGTCTTGACTTTTCAATGACTACTTTAACTTTGAATATTCTATGACAGAATCATTAAAGCATATGTGTCTTTGTCACAAAAAATAATCATAGAATTCATTTTTTTAAATAGATTTTTTATAGGTCTTCTGGAAATACAACAAAATCTTCTGTTTTGGTGATGAAAAAATCTAATTTTCTTTGTGGCACAGCCTCTTAACTTCATCACAAGTGTCTACGATTGACTACAGCTGGTGACTCCTCTGAGCCAATCTAAATAGGGCCCATTTAATACACTCATTAGACTTAACCTCAAACATTACAGTGAGAAAGTCTGAAGAGCTCAGAAAAGATCGGAAAAAGCAACTCATTGACAAGTCAGGAAAGTCACTCTGAGCCACTTCAAAGATGGTTAGGACCCCAAAACAGCTGTGCAAACATTTGTATGAAGTATAAAATGCACAGTACAGTTGTGTCACTGCCACTATTAGGAGGAAGACACAAACTGCCACCTGCTGCTGAGACACAATTAGTCAGGATAGTCAAAAGTCAACCAGGAATCACCAAAAAGCAGATCTGCAATGAATTAGAAGCAGCTGGAACACAACTGTCAATGTCCATAAGTCAAGCGTGTTTTACACTATGAGCGGGCTTCCATGCGAGAAGGAAGCTCTTCTTTAAGGCTCGCCTGGAGATTGCTGCTGATTACTTGAATAAAGAAAAGGCCTTCTGGAGAAAAGTTCGGAAGAAATATTTGACCACAATGACCAAAAATATATTTGGAAGAGAGAAAGTGAAGCCTTTAACCCCAAGAACACCAAACACACTGCAGACGCATCAAAAGTAGTGAAAAATGAGGCTAGAATTAAGCTTTTAGACGGTCCTTCCTGAAGTCCTGACTCCATCAAGAATCTACAGACTGTACTAAAGAAAAAAGTTTGTATCTGAAAACCAACAAATTTAGTTAAACTACACCAATTCTGGTCAAAGGTACAACCAGAAACTTGTAGAGTATTTCCTAAAACGCTGCAGATTTGAATGTAAATAAGCATAGCAATTATTTTAGATAAGGCTGCCGGTTATTTCCAGTTTGGATCTTGTCTATAAGTGCCTTTTATCATTTCCCAGTGATTGTTTGCATTTTTACAGGATCTTTGTTTTGTAGAACTAACACTATAAGCGCCAAAGATATTCAGTTATAGTGGCAAATCTTTACTGTGGGGTAAAGACAATCAGTAATTTTTTCTTGACTATTTATTTGGAAAATTACTTAAGTAATAAACTAGATGATCAAAATTGCTGCTGATAAAGTTTCTGGTCATCAATTAATCATTTCAGAACTAATCCCATTACAGAAAGAAATAGTTAGAAGTAAGAATCTGGAGCCAGGTGCTGTTTGACATTTCTCTTTGAATCAATTACCAAAGCAGATACTAATTCATTTTCTGTTCAGTTAAGAGATAAATTGTTTCATTGTTGAGCAAAGCAACAAAACTCATCACTGTGATTATTTTTTATGGCATAAGCTCAGATGGTTTTAAGAAAAAAACTATAATTATGTTGTAGTTATGCAATTAAAAAGTAATTGTGTGTAATTTTTCCCTTTCCAATGACAAGCTGCTTGGAATCATAGAATCAACTCTTACTGCAGGGAAACAACAAGGCTTGGTTTGCATTTCAACCTAAAAGATGACAGGGATAAGGAGACTTATTTTCATGTTTCTAATTTTGAGTGGGCAGAACAGGAAGGAAAAAGGCAGCAAACCAGCCTTTGATTTATATTCAAATGAGCAGTATACAGGGGAAATTGGATTTCTCTTTCATTTCGGAGAATGAATTTCCTGGTGGCAGATCGTATTGTATCATCTCGTGGCGTTAATATCCAGCTCTGAGCATCAGGAGCTGCTCGTCATTACAAAGACTCAGAGGAACTTTTACACCTCCTTGCCACAGAATGCTATGACAATTTCCATTTCTGTTCCAATGTTCAAACAACACCCCCAAGGCCGTTTAAGACATTTCCACCCGTTTTAATTTACACATGAAAGGCGATAACATATCAAAGGAGTTCTACTTTAAATTCAAAAGAAAACTTGTCCCTGCCTTTATGTCCCATATGTCAACGAAACAGGCTAATTCTGTACCTCAAAGCAGGCCAGCCGGAGGAGGATCCTTTTGTAGGTGTAATTGAGTCCAGCATGTTTATACACTGATGAAAAATTCAGCAACATACGTCTAATCAGACGGCAGTGACTCAAGGGGGAAAAGAAAAAAAAAAGAATTTAGAGAGGAACCACTCGCCATTAGCAGCAATCCCTTTCTGGGCAAAATTCGTTAATTCTGATTTGGTCTTTAAGGTTGGTGCATACATGAAGTAAACCCCCAAGAGATGCAGTCAGCTTCCAGGCTTCTATAATGCTGCTTACATACAAGAAACTCTATTTCATTGAACTGCAGTTCCCAAAGCTGACATCGTAGCTCCGTATGTAGCCGTAAGCTTCAATCTCACCCATTTGTATGTGTTTTTAGGAAAAGAAAATGAGCCAACATTTATATTAACAGCATTTTATGTTAAGTAAATACATGTTGCCAGAAAAGAGAGATGTCCCAGGTACAGTGGCGGGAAATTCTTCATAGTAACACCATATTTCAGAACCCAGGAATCATGTCCAGAATCATCCAGAATCTGTGCCATTTTCCGGAGAGTGTCTCGGCTCTCTCAGAAATGGAAACAGAAAGCAGCCACGCTCCCCCACCAGCTCTGCTCAGACCTTTGTGGTTGCTCGTATTTGATCACTTGTCAAAATCCTTAAAAAAAAAAATAAAGTACATTAATGGAAGGTGGTATTGTCCCTGTTGTGTTTTAGTTTTTGTATGCATAAACACAACAAAAAGGAGTATAATGAATTCACCAGGTTATCAAAAGCTGGTGAATTATGTATTCATGCCTTGGCGAATAGCATTGTAGCTCACATCATACTAACAGATACACAGGTACACAGTTGTTAGATAGCTAATTAATCTGCCTATTACATTTCTTGATTAATTGTTAATTTTTTTGTAAAAAATATTTTAAAAATATTACAACTACCCAGAGGCCAAAGTGTGAGCTTTAAACTACTTAATTTGTTTCATTAATGGTCAAAAATATATTTTATTTACTATCATATCTGAAGAAGATGAGAAAAAAAAAATCCTCCTGTGGATGCATGGATTAAACTGCAAAAATGGCTGGATTCCCAATTTACGTTCTTAAGCTGATTAATTGACTAAATTTCCCAGTTCGAAAGCAGTGAAAAAGTTTGTAAAGTTAAAAGAAACACTGACACATTTCAGCCCTCAACACAGACCTCATCCACACATACATATGTTATTTGACACATATCCTTTTCTGTCTTTTGGCCTTTCAAACACACATAAAAACTGTTCTAGGTCACTGAAAACCGAGCTTTTGAAACGTTCCTACAGTTGATTTGCACTGTTGATGTGTGAACAGAGCAGAGTTATGAGCTGGCCATGGCAGTGTGTGCCGTTATTTCCTTTGTTGACGAGTCGATTTGTGCAATGGATGTGGCCGAAATAGTGCTGGTGCTAACGCTGCTAATGGGACTTTTTACATATTTGCTCAAACAAGCATGGTTACTCTTCCACTATGTTAAGGAACAGAGATGACACAATCAGTCTACACATATGATAACTTCATTGATGCATCATTGTTGGCAGCCTACTGGAACCAGTCGGAGCTTTTTTCAGGCTTCTGTAGCAGACATGGCTTCAGTGTTAGGGTTACAACGCCGCCTGTTGGTTCAGCACACTCTTGACAGTGCTTCAAGTATGTTTTTTCATGTGGATAGAGATGTTTTTTGGACAACGAAGAACAAATCCTATTTTAAAAAATACCCATGTGCGTTTGGACAATGCCTCAATCTGAGCTGGTCAAGATAAAAAGAAGAAAAGACTAACAGAGCAACTAAGCTTTAGGCTTTACTGACAGGATTTGGGCAGTTGCTTGACATGGTTATCCATCACTGTGATACTGTGGAATCACAGTGGTATTACCCACTTGAGGCGGCTTGGATTTGGGGGTACTTGAGGATTTTTTATTTAAGTTTGGTAACCATGGTCATTCTCTGTAATAAAAGATGGTGTCATATATAAATCAAATTGCTCAGGGAAATGAGCGCTTCTGAAGCTCCAGTGCAACTCACTGGAAATGAAAACAGGTGGCCCGGCAGGTGTTCAGACTGTTTAATGTCTTTGAATGGACAGGTTTAACTCCTGAAACACCAAGGGCGAACAAAGTAACAGCCCATTACTCATTATGACACTCAAACTCTGAAGCAGCTGTTTTTGGATGATGAGGAACCACTGAGTTTGTTATGTTTGGCACCACCTTGTGGACCTGCACGCTGACACTGAAACCCTGCTGCAATAATAACCGAACATTTAGTGTCTTAGTTTTACATTAGCACACTACAAACCACACTGCAAACTGACCAGGGCTTAGGAACGTTAAAAGAAAAAGATTTTATCACTCAGTTCTCATGGCATTTATCCATCTCGACAGATTAAACTCCTACTGCCACCAAAAACAAGTGGAGGTTCTCCCAGCATTAGAAAAAAAAAGATCTATTGAAAACACTGAATACATAATAATGAAAATACGATGTAACGAAATAGCTGAAAGTTTTAATCATTAACAATAAAAATTGTTGACAGCAGAATATCTGAACTAAGAGGAGCGCTACCTCTGGACAGCTGATTCTGCTTTTAAATATCATTTCTAATGCTGTGGGCACCAGTAACTTTGAAAAAATAAAACAAAAAATTGGGTCCACTTGTCCCCTCAGACAAATAGTCACTAAACATCAATCAACAAAAGAGGTCAACTGGTTATTGACCTGTCCAATTATCAGATCCTATATTCATCACCATTTACCCAATAAAATACATTATTTAAATATTAAAAACTGTGATAGCCGTTCTCTATCTGTAGTCATCACTCTGTGATGTTGAGTAACGTCCACAGTCCTACCTCACTGGTCACACTTCATGAGTAACATCAAATCAACACCGATGGAAGAAAGGTTTAACAGCTTCTTTTAATTAAACAGACGTGACACATAAATAAACAAGGCATTTTAACAAAGTTTTGTTTTGGCGTTTGTGTTATTCTAAGTTTTGACACCAAGACTTTCAATTATTTTTCTGCAAATATGTATCAGTTCTATGTTGATTATCAATCTCCTTGATTATTATTAATCAGTATTGGTAGCGGCTCTTAAAAACACTGTTCCTCCCCTAGTAGAGAGTTGACTTATGATGCAGCAACAGCCATTCGATGGATAAAGTAGTGAAGTTAACTTTGTTGGTTTCTTCAAAAGGATCAAAAATGTGTCAAATTGCCTCATAATAGTGAACAGTTTGTAGATGTGTGAATCTTTGGTATGAGTGATGTTTGGCTGTCACAAGCGAACAAATATACAAAGTTAATGCTGAAATTTGCTACAGTGATCAAAAAGTGCGATTTTGTCAGAGAGCTGTTGAGTCCTAAATGTTTTGTTTTTTTACCTCTGCATCCATTTTTGATACCAATCTCCTAAAAAACAGAAGCATCTGGGTCTCTGTCGAGTCCATTGTTTCATTGTCTCGCTGTTTTGCATGCAGGCAGGCTCGACACAACTGCTCAAGCAAAAGCATCCAAATAAATTAAAGTCAATTTCTCCCCACACAAAACTCCGAGTTCACAAGCTTCAGGTTTAGTGTCTGTTGTACTGTACATCCGCGCTGCTTGTGTAGCACGACTGCAACAATCCTTCTTGGTTCTTTACGTGAGAATCTTCTTGATAGTATCCCAAGAGAAAACATTAAATTCAAAGCAGTGATTCTGCATACAAGTAGTTCCTGGACAGAATCTTCCAGCAGTGAGCGAAGCACATGGTGTGGGAGCGAGAGGAATATCCAGATAACACAACAAATACGTGCAATGTGAGGTGCAAGATCCAAAATTAATTTGCTGCAAGTTCTTCAGCAGCTCTGATGGTTTGGGAGGTGTCCATAAATCTCCAGCAGCAATTTTCTCTGTTTCTATATCGCTCACATCACTAATAGAGTCTCTACAACTGGTAAAAGATCTGCAGAACAAGTATTTAGAGCATGTGGTGATCATTCTGATTCAGTAACAAGTTTTTGCTCCTTCTCTGCCTTTAGATGAAAACAGATGGACTGGGGTTTGATTCCCTGCAGTCAACTTGAATGCAACTAATCAGCAGCAGCCTCTTTGTCTGGGCAGATATAAATATGTCTGTAGAGTGGGACGTTACTGATTATTGGCATGTCTGTTTAGCAAACCCTCCTGCGATAAATGAAAGAATAAAAATAACTGGACCTAGAGAGCTGACCAAAGCAGTCTCAAACATATACAGCGAAGCACCACGTCTACCAGGAAAAAAGAAAAGCTTCCTTTAGCTGTTGCAAGTCTTAGATTCCCTACAGCTGGACAGATCTGCACTTTCTCCAAGATGGACACTCAGGTAGGAAGCAGCTGTGTTCGTTGTCAAGAGGCTACTTGGTGGTAGATTCCCCATCAGGCCTCATGCTGAAGGGTTCGAGGCGCTCGCTCTCAGGCAGCATGTTGTTGAGGCGTTCCATCAGCGGCACCGTCTGGTCGATGCCCATCTGGATGCGTCTCAGGATCATGGACATCTCGTTGACCTTCTGGATCTGCTCAGCATACTTGGCGTAGCGTTTCTGTCGCTCCTGCATTATGCTGAACAGGGTTTCCACTGACAAGTCCATCTGGAAAGCAACGGGATAGCAGGGAGATGAGAGACACTTTAAGACACTCGATGACACTTGGAATCATCTCAAAACAAAACAGAGGAACGTAGCTTATATGAACAAAATGCACTGTACAAGCACAAGTTCACAAATGTAACAGTTTAAAACATTTAACAAGCGCATACATCGATCAGCCACAACATTAAAGCCACTGACAGGTGATGGGTATAATGTGGATCTTCTTGTTACAACACAACGTTCTGCTGGGAAACCTTGGGTCCTGACATTTATGTGGATGTTACTTGGATTTCCCAAGAGAATAATGCGCCCTGTTGGACCTCAGTAACTGCTCAGAAACCCCTCACAGCACACAACTAAGAGTCAAAGGCACTGACTGAGGCTCCAAACTCCCCAGATCTGAATTTGATCGAGCATCGGGGTGCTCTGGAACAAACCTCATACACACAGCAACCCACAAAACCCAAAGGATTTACAACAAACATCGCAGAGCCAAACACCAGAGGACACACCCAGAGGTCCTGTGTCTATACTTCAACGGGTCAGAGCTGTTCTAGCAACACGAGAAGAACCTACACAATACTAAGCTTAGTTTTAAAGTTTTGGCTGATCGGTGCACAATATCAGTGAACATCATAAATACAATAATGAAATTACTTCAGCATATAATCTAGATTAAGCAGCTCTGACTTAGACGCTAAAAAGCCATTTCACATTTGTCAAGTCTTTTTTTTTTTTTTCTTCTTCAATATTCATCATTTATTGGTTGGATAATTCTGTGTTTAAATTATTTGTTCTGTCATGGAACACTCCAAAACAAATACATTCAATTTATAAAGCTAAACAACAGAGACAAGCAGTGAATATTTGGCATTGTTTGATTATTCAACTATTTTAAATATCAATTAATTATACAAAATGTCAATTTTTTGACGATCAATTATTTCAGCACCTCTTTAGAAATAATAGTTAGTTCATACCAATGTTATAAAGCCCTTACATCCGATAGATATAGCTAATATTGGTGCAGACACTTTGTATGCTAAACGTCTCATGCTCAAACATGCAGCCTTACCTCTTTGATCCTCTTGACGAGGGCGTTCTGGTCAAAAGCCACAGCCTCAGCGCACTGGTGTAGGTGGTCCTGGTATCGGATGCAAAGCTGCAAAACCTGAGCAGCATCCAACCTTTCCAGACAGACGCTGCTGGGTGACGTCTGGCCACTCAGTACCCCTGTGGAGAGAAAAGAGCAGGGCACTTACATGGACATGTTAGAACAGAGAATTACTTGACAACAACGTAACACATGATAATTACTGTAATTAGCAATGCACAGGGTCTGGCAGAACTGACCATCCTGCTATTTCAGGAGTGCGCCTACGCAGGAAATTTGGCCCATTATCCTCCTTCTAAACACAGTGTTAATGAGTTGCAGCAACAATCAGCTTCACTACACAGAATCTGAATAATTGACCAGTAGGGACTGGTACAAAACAAAAGGAAATGTGTGAACTAAAATGGTAGAGGTAAAGCAGAAGGTCTGAAGCATGTACTGTAGACTTACTACAGGGAACTGAAGAATCTAAAGTTAGTTATAATGCTTTAAAAGGTTCTCTGTGCAACAGTCAGCACCACTGGATGTCCCTAAAACACCAGCATCTCAGACCAAAACAAATGGGCACGTCTACCACACCTCCTTTGTCCCTTCACTTACAACCAAAAAAGGCTGCTTCCACAATAAACAACAAAAAATAACCCCGACACAACCATTAGACCACACAAACATCATAAAATACATTTACTGACCGTAACAAGTTGTTGTCAACTTGAGTAACAGTATGTTCACTTCACCTGTCTCTCCTTCTCTGCTAATGGCTGTTGTTTTGCTCAAGTGCCTCTAGTGTGTGAGTGTGTGTGGGAATAGGCTAATGAGAAACATACTGTAAAGATTAAAACTTTATTTGTACTGATATTAACATTAATGTTATATTTAAGCTCAAAAACTTGCATAATGCACCTGGAATTATTTAAAATCAGTGCAGTGTGAATATGCTTTGTCTGTGCTCTGCTTTCAGTCTGTGTTTGTGCACCAGTCCAGTTTTCTTTACTGAAAAAAAAGTCTACAGCCGCTGGTAAAAGGAAGTGTCTGTGTACTGGTCACACTATCTGATCATTGCCCCAAGCCACACCTCACTACAATACGGATTAACTCAACAGTGGAGAGTTTGTCACCACTTGAACATCACAAAAACCTTTCTAACCAGAATAATAGAAATGTAAGTTTTATTATTTTTCTCTAAGTCAGAAAAGAAAGTCTTTTGTACGGTACATTTATATTTCTATTCAGTGTACATGTGTACAATCTGAACTATGTTTAAAATTGAACTATTTGTCGAGTTGGCAGGTCTTCATAGACATATTTTAGAATTTTGCTAAAGAATATATTTTATCTTGAAACACACACCCACCAGTGAAAATGGAAATTCTGCTGTCGATGAGCAATTGTATGTCTTTATTACAGCCTGGAAAAAAACAAAACAAAACAAAAAAATCTCACTAAAATCAGTATCAGAAACTGGGAGACTGAAAAGTTACCTTTGAGAAGTGGCTGAAAAGTGGGTATCTCCTGAAGCTTGATGACATCAGGGTCGTTGTGGATATTTCTCATGGACTGGGTCCCCTGTGCCACAACCACAATATCATCCATCTTTGCCTTCTGCTTTGCTGGAGATGGCACCACTGCAATGACAGAAGAAATAAAATGAAATGGCATACATGTAATGCCATGGAATGACAGAACATATCACATCTTGCTGGTACAAGCTCTGCATTAACATAATTGGTTTTGCTTGTCATGAGTATTTTTACACTGTGGTGTTGGTACTTTTACTTGAAGTGAATACATATTCGATCACTGCAATTGTAAAATGAGGCTTATTATACTGAGACCTACAGAAACACGAAATGTCAGCATTACCGTGATTTACCCTTATGATAACTGCCTAACAAAAGATTACAACCATAGAAGGAGGTCTTACCTGATGAGCTATAGTCGGAGTGTTTGTGCTCCGCATCGCCGCTTTGTTCTGCTCCCATGGCGCTAACGTCAGGTTAGCGAGCTAGCAGTTACCTTTACTCAACGTTTTCAGAAAAATAACAAACAAAATAACCAAGTTCGCTGAATATAATCAGACTGCAGACACTTCATACGGGCTTCAAACACATTCGGACTCACTACAACGTAACCACGTTTGCAGGAGAGGAACTGAAAGAGCTGGAGGCTCTGTGCTGTTGAGCTAGCCAGCTAGCTACATAAGCTAAGTTTGAAAGATTCCTGCTCCAGTTCACAAGCTATCGGGGTTAGTAGACGCGTTTTTGAACCTACATAAGTCCAGAGCAGACTTCTGTCTAAACGATGAAAGCTCCAACTCAAATAATTAAGAAGTGTTTACATTACATCGGACAACAGAAATGACTGAGCTAACTTCTGTCCAGGACGAGGTTGCACTTCCGTAAATATTGATCACGTGGTCCGCCAATTATGGTAGTACCGCCCCCTACCGCTATTGTGGACTTCTGCGTCTCCTGTTTGGTTGTTTTTTTGAATGACCAATAACATTAACAGTAAACAGACATTATACTAGTAACATATGGAATACTATTTTAATTTTTTAAAAAACGAATTAATAAAGATTCATGTGAAAGAAATATACACATATAAACACACGTAAGAATGACATAAATAGGTTTTTAATTGTAATAGGATATTTTTCAAAGGACTGCTTTTAATTATCTCACAGGACTTTCGTACCTCATTTTTTTTTATTGCATGACTCATTCCATAGCCCTATTTGTCTTTTGGTTTTTTTGTTGGGGGGAGGGGTATTTATGTTTTAATTTGTTTAATGTTTGATACAATTGCATTCCATGACATTATTCCCTAATAAGACTAATAATGCAGGATGTATTTATTATGTTTAAATACAAAACATGTTCCACTGAGGCCTCCAGAAAGTAAGTAAAAATCACACACAGCATCTTCAGCATCATTTAATGAACAAGACAAAAGTCATGCCTAAAAGCATAACTTAAATACAAAACACTTGAAGTAATAAACAAGTTATTGATATACCAACATTTATGCATTTTGAAGAACTTAACAGGAGAAGTAACAAGAACCACATTTAGGAGACATGAACAGCGTTCTCTTAAATGGGTGGTTGTTGCATTTTAGACTGTATTTAGGTTTATTCTTCCCTTTTCAACCCTCAGTCTTGTTGAAGACAGATTTTGCCTGAATTTGTACACAAGGACAAGCTAAAACACACAACCTGCTCAAATACGGGCTTGCAAATCCAATCAAGTCCTAAAAACCTTTCACTCACACAGTTTAACAGCCTGGAGTGGAACACAGAAGACATCACTTCATATTTCAAGATAACTACTTTCCCTGGACACCTGGTCAAAAGACAACAACAGTAAGAATCAACCGTGGCCACAGCCAATAAAGAGAAACAAATGGGAATCAAACTTTGGCTTCATGCATGCAAATCCAGGCTACATGAATCCTGTGGTATGAGCTCCTTGTTGGTCTGTGTCCCCCCGTTCCTCTTCATTCAGAGGATAAGGACGCAGGTCACATGTCAGAATGCAACTGAACATGCATTCATCAAACTGCAAAACACAACATTTTAGTGGTCGCACTGTCATGTAATAATGAAAGTAAAATTCCTCCTACTCACTTTCTACATGATGTAAAGGCTACTTACACCTGAGTAGACTCCCAGCAATGCATCTGCCTGAGAGAAAAACTCCTCCTTCAGTGAGATGACGATGATTTGCATGTTCTTACTGGACTCCTCTCTGATGAAACTGGTCACCTGGAAAAATGCCCAACACAAGGGATGTACAAGTTTGATCTACGAGGTGTATCAGAAAAGTTCCAGGACTGGTGGCACAAACGATATATTTCAAGCTCAAACTACAAACTACCAGTTTCTCCCTTCAGACCATCAACCAGCACGTCTACAAACAGATCCCACGGCGTTTGCTTCATTCAGTGCGCAACAAGAGGTGAGAGTTGTGGCAGAACAAGTCGTGGCTGCTTCACCATGACAACGCACCTGCTCACAATGCCCTGAGCATCCAACAGTTCCTGGCTGAGAAGAACATCAATGTGCTGGAGCAACCTCCCTACTAACCCCACCTGGCTCCGTGGGATTCTTTCCTCTTCCCAAAGCTCAAGAGGGTCACCAAAGGGACCCATTTTGAAGACATGGAAGACATCAAGATGGCTGTGATGACAGAGCTGTGGAGGATCCCGGAAGAATCCTTCCAGGAGTGCATGGTGGCGTGGCAGAGAAGGCTGGGAAAGTGCGTTAGACTCCAAGGGGACAACTTCAAAGGGGAAAACATGCTTGGATTTGAAATATATCTTTTGTGACACCAGTCCTGGAACTTTTCTGACACACCAAGTATAAAATTTCAGACAGAAACATAACAGTTCCCCTTAGCTAAAGATGACTCTCGACAAATCATAACAGAGAAAAGCGATAAGTGCTTACATTAGAGTGTGAGCATTATATCATTACCCTTTCAGTTGCTACTTTACACAATGCAACAGTTATGAAGCAAAATGATCACTCATTTGAAGTTCGTGTCTGTCCACCTGGATAATGCAAGGCCATTATTCCCTTTTTCAGCTCAAGTTTTATGTCGCGACCAGCTCCAGAAAAACATATATGGTGCTTCAACTGCTAAATGCCCGTTTGTGCAGATGTCTGCTGTTCATTGCTGAGCAGGTAGTGCGTGGTGGGTTTTTAGAGCTTTCTCACTGGAAATGATGTTATGATGACAGCGAGAGTGAAGCAAAACACCAAGGTCATGAGTCAGCTAAACAGTCAGCTCAAACTTGCTATAAAGCTTTGTAAAGCAGAGAGAAGCTGCAGATTCAGGACATAATTCTCTGGAGGTTCATCACTAGAACAGACCCCTGGAACACTGACACATTGTTTTCACATTTGTTTTGATACACTATTATAAAAGTATCAATTATGGTTGTTGTTTTCATAAATTAATCCATTATCACATTAGCTGGCAGATAATTTTCTGTTAATCAAATAATCAATTTACCAACAGAAGTAATTGCGCATGTAGCTATTATCTTACTTTGCCGATGTTACTGTTGTCCAGGGCTGCATCCACCTCATCCAAGATGATAAAAGGAGCAGGGCGGAAGCTAAAAGGAAGAAACAGACACCAAAGAACACAGACACAAGGAAATCTTGAATGTGCATCAAGTGGCAGAACAGCAGTCATGTCGTAGTTATGAATGGTATGACACTATGTGGGACAAGTGCATCTGAAGAAGAGATTTGCCAGTCAAATGAGGTCAAAAAATAACTTTTACATTTATGAAAAAACAATAGTTTCAACCCACAGACCAAATTTAGGTTTCAAAGGAGATGTCAAGTGTCTCCAGAAGAATGATTTTTTTCTAAGTAAAGTCAATGAATTGAATTAGCAGAGGATCAAAACGCACTCCAAAATTACTAAGCCCTTACTATTTTAGTCCATTCATCAATTTAAGAAGTCACAGTCATTACAGACTAAGTATTATAGCCCACAGTTACAAAACATTGAAGTTTTCTAAAGACATTTCTTGATGTGTCAACAGCTGTGTTATTACTGTGTTTCCTTTGTTCTGGTGTTTTAGCGTTTAGCTTTGGGGAGTAATTATCCAGCTGTCTAACTATATGAATGTCAAGAAAATACAGATGCTGCTAAAAGATTTTGGAAAGTGAGAGGATTTCTGCACAATGTTGTTGCATTTTGATACAACGGTCTATCAAATAATGCTCAATTTTATGTTTAATCTACCCATTGTCTGGTACCATTATATGCATGTTATTAATTAGAGTAATACCCTAATCGCACTTGGTGTAATCTTTCTGTAACCAGTTGGATCTATTCCAAGATAGTGAACCATCATGTAATGTAACAGTGTTACCTGTGAATGGCAAATATGAAAGCCAGAGCAGCGATTGCCTTTTCTCCACCAGACAGATTGTCCATGGACATGAAGCGTTTCCCTGGCGCCACACAGTTGTAGTTGATGCCACCCAAGTATGGCTCATCTGGATTCTCTGCACTCAGAATGGCCTAGGGCACATATAGCAGCGTTTCATTTCCTTTATTGGATTTCATTGTTTAATGCATCTTGTTTTTGTTTGTAACACTTTTTAAAAAAAACTCAGAGGTAATGACAACAATATGCAGTGTAGTTCGGACTGTTTAGTATCTGAAGGGTGACCAAAGAAGCCTATCCCAGCTGACTTAGGGCGAAGGCAAGGGACAACCAACTGCGCCACCTTGCAGCCCTGTTTCACATATTATCCTGTGTAAATATTGTAAATTCTATTCTATTTTGGCAACGCTTAGTCTTCTGCCTGTATTTGTCCTGCACTTGAGTCTCTGATCCGCTCCATGACACAAGCACCATTTCAAGTGAGTGCTGAACCTCCTACACTGTATCAAAACAGCGACCCTTCAACTTGAATTTCATTGTGGGGAAGAGGAAGAAGTGATTGTCTTGAAGTGGCCAAAAAACCTGTGTGGAATCGTTGCACTGTGACTCCCTCACACAGTGTATAGGAGCACCCACATGTCATCGAACCACAGTTCAGGTCGTTTGCACTAAATGTTCAGACATTTCAGGACACTACAGTAGAACTGTCCATTGACAGTGTGACCCTCAAGGATTAATTCATGGTGCACAAGCATGTGAATATTAAAGACTATAATGAACATGTTCCTGATGCACCTTCTTTGGTGTTGGACACTGCTGCTCTTCCACCGTAAAAAAAAAACAAAACCTGCTGTTCCTGCTCTCTTTGGTCGCTTCACACACAACTCTCATCACCAGTGATGATCCCCCACATGAAAGTTGGATTATCTCGCCTGCTAACTGACAGAAGTTTCAGGTGACATCCTGACTCATGACAGTTACTGCTTGTACATGTTGCAAGCGCACCAAGAATGGCTTTATGATTAAACCTCAAACACTTAGGTAAAGTGCCCTTTCAAGGGAACTGGAGTGTTCTGGACATATGTCTGCTGCAAACAGCTCAGTGTACCACAAGTAATTTCTGAAGTGTATGTAGACCTTACTGACTAGTGAATCTATCAAGTATAGACAATTAAAACTTGCATAAGAACACTTTGTAGGGAAGTAGGGAAGAAAAATGACTCAAATGTAGATAAAAATAATAAACAGACAAACTAGATTGTTTCTCTATAGTTCACGTTTTGGTGTCTCACCTGGGCGCTGCTGTTCCTGCATATTCTTTTATAGATTTGGTCGATTACGACAGACACATGCTCAAAGCACTTGCTAAAGAGCTGGAAGCGCTGGGCTTTTACTTGCTCGAACTCCTGACTACACTTCCTGGCTGCTCTAGTGCTGGCATCAAAGGCTAAACGAGGGAGGGAGAGAAAGCTTCATTATCAGTCCATGTGCCTCCATTATCATGTTGCAACATTAAGAAAAACATGCAGAATTTTTGTATGGGAATTAAAGTGAAGAATTTTAACAATAAGTAAGGAAAAATGTATACATCATGCAAATACAGTGTAAAATATATAAATGAAGTGGTTTTGATTGGCCTGTTTGTAGTGATTTTAGTAATATATTAAACCAGGAGTTTCATTTTTAAAAGGAAAAACTTCTCAGACTAAACAAAATACCATCCATCACTCCCTGAAACTTGTCCTTGACCTCCCTCATTTTCTCCAGAGCCTTCAGGTTGGGGACAGTGGTACGATTTAGCATTCCCTCTACAGACAGCACTGACTCCTTCAGTCTCTCCAGGTAGGCCTCCACCTCCTCCTCAGTCTGCAGACCCTGTCAACACATTTTCAATACATGCTCTGTAATACAAGCTTATCATAGGAATGAAAAACACTGAGAAGAAATAAGCATGAAAATACGGCTTTATGTCTCACCCTGCACTCTGCCTCTAGCTCAGAGTAGTCGATGACCATATGTGCCTCTCTCTCATAGATGTCCATAGTGGCTGAGGTGCTTTCAGAGTCTGTGTCCAGCTGCACAGACAACACAAATCAACCATCAGATAAGACTGTAACCACATAATGCTAATCTTTTTTTCAAAATGTGATCATCTGAGCCCAAATTAATATCCAATACTTTATCAAACTCATGCTGGGCTGGTGCTACACTGATAATTCAGACCAGATTAACACACATCTGTGTCCTACCTGCACTTCACTGATTTCATTCAGGCTGCCTGACAGCATAGTGATGGGCAGGTCCTGGATCTTGCAGGCCAGCAGCATGTTATGTCTAGCCAAGCGTTTCTGCTCCAAGGTAGTCTCTGCAGACATCACCTCTCGCTGACGATTCACTAACTCTCTATGAGTAATATAAAAATCATTCATTCATAATCTAGACATCCAGACAGAATACCTTAGTTCATGTCATATCACATAAAGTGGTGTCCTCATTCCTCACAACTCATCATAACAAAATCACTGTTCATTTAAACGGATGCTTCTATATGTTTTACTGATGGAAATACCTATTAAATGTATATTAAATAAAAATGCCACTTCCTTTCAGTCTGTTAATTAACACACTTGGCAAACAATTTCAGCAGTAGGTAATTCATCGAGGACCAGAATGGTTTGCACAAATGAACATCACATGATACACGATCAAGAGTTTGTTAGACTCCCCTCCCTCTATCAATTAAGTAGCACTTGCCGTATTATTATTATTATTATTATTAGCAGGAGTACAAGTGGATACAGTAATAACTGCAAAACACACAGGAACGGTGGCAATAGCACTAGAATTATTAGAGCGAGTTTTACTTGTTAATCTCCCGAAGGCTTTGATTTTTCTGGTCCAACTCAGCTTTGACAGCAGCCACCTGGCTTTTCATAGACAGCAGCTGGTTGTTCAGCTCCAGCAGCTTATTCTGACCCTCCTCCACCACCTCCAACAGCCTCATCTCATCCTGTATGGAGACAGAAACATGTGGCTGAAAAAAACCCTGCAAAGGCCACCAAGAAACACAACAGCCATGTGTTTGTTTTTAGCCAGGATGCTTTCAGCCAACCACCTGAGCGTCCACTAAACCCATAATTAGAGATTTTGGAGGGGATTGATATACCAGGGAAAGATGGATAATCAAAGAAAACAAAGTTATGGTTCTGGATAGTATTTTATCCATTGCAAATTTAAAACATGTGCTGTTAGATGGCAGTAAACTGCTTCATATCACCATTAAAAGAGTGATCATTACGTTTCTCTGTTTAGCCATGGCTCTCTCCTTCTCATTAATGGCATCCTCCATTTTGCGGAGCTTCTTCCTCTGCTGCTCCAGTTGATGTTGTTCATATTCAATCCGTGCATTCAGACGAGTGTGCTGAGTCTCAAACTCCAGCCTGAAGGCAGAGATTGATGAAGGTGTTGCAAATCAAATAAGAACTTGCATACATAGTGTACGAATACTATTTTGTGAAGGGAAAAATATCAACAGAAAAAAATTAAAACTGTTTTACACAGTGTTGGTGATTAGCTTTCTATTGTGATAGTACTTAAGGGACCAACTAAAAAAATTTAATTTCCCAAATTTCCTATACATAAAAGCACAATATTGAAAAGCAATGCATGTTTTTGTTGCCAGTTTTTTTCACTGAGTTATTTATCATAAACAAATCACCAGATTTGGCGAATGACACAGAACAATATTGGATTGTGACTGCTGTACCTTTTATTATCAAACTCCGCCTGCTGTTTCAAGTGTTCCTGCTCATACTCCCTGATGCTGTCCACACCAATCTCAGCGCAGAAGTCAGAAAAAACCAAGTCCTCCATCTAAATATACAGAACAGTTATACTGTTAAATATCTATAGTATATGAAGAGTTCATTTGCAAAAACAGATAACGCCATCTTCACAAACCTTCAAAACACCCACTGTTCCATCGTCCACCTGAGACAATATCAAACCTAAGTTATCTCTATTTTTGTCATGTCTTTGTACGAAGTCAAATCCACTCACCTTCAGTTTGATTGATATTATATCAAGCAAACAACAACAAAAAAGTTTTCTGAAAATCTACAAAAATGGAGTTACCTGTTTTTGCAAATGAACTCTTCATATATGCTGTATATAGTATATAACCAGCCACTAGACAAGAGCTGGTAAAGGATTTGTGATTACAGTATTCTAGCAGCCATTCTAGCAGGTTGCCAGAGAAATAGTTTAGTACTTGGATATTCCTATTTTCTAATTGGAAATTTGTTTATTATTTATTTAATGTTCATCTGTATAGTGATATGTATGTAGTATGAACTGATGCAACATCTCAAGGCATTTATAGACTAATCTAATAATAATAATAATAATACATTTTATTTAATAAGGCGCCTTTCACGGCACTCAAGGTCGCCTTACAATAAAAGCAATACAACATACAATACAATCTAATCTGAAATGCCTGTCCCTGGTGGGCTTTTAAAATTCATGCAACAAATTTAATACTGCATACATATATTCAACATATAGGCAGAACACTAAGACAAAATGCACAAGACTGGTACTGATGACAGTGTCAAAGATACTCATAAACAAAACTATGTCAGCTCTTAACAATGTAATGAGGCATCATATAACATTCTGGTTTTATTTGTTATTAATTTAAGTTATTTTAATTCTTAGGATTCTCAAGATTAAATAAAAACGAATTGGTAACTGTAGCAGAGGGGCAAAAATCGTACTCCACATGCTGACACAGAGTTTCAAAGCTGTGCAAACAGAAATACCCGGTCAATCTGGTCTTTAATCGCCTTCATCTCTTCATTCTTGGCCTCCACACTCTGCTGCTGCATCTGAATCTGACAGTTCAGGTTGGCTAGTACACTTTCCATTCGAGAAATCTCCTGACAACAATCATTGAAACAAATGAGGCAGAATAAGTACTGACAAATTGTGAACTGTCAGTTTATCTCTGCACTCAATATGTCCTTTTACGTTTAAAGTGCTTTGGGATTCAGGTGACTGTGACATAGCTAAGACTACCTGCGATACATAAATATAATACAGTCATGTCAAATGCCACAGTGTCAAATAAGATATTAAATGGGATTATCACAGTTCTGTGACCCTACCGCTTGACATTTAACGATGCTTTTCTTCCGAAGGTTTTCCAACTCAGCTTTAGAGTATTTGAGGCGGGTCTGAGCTCCCTGAGCCTCCGCAATTATCTGTTTTAGATCTGACTCCTTCCTCTTCAGCCTCATCAAATCCTATCACAAAAACAAAACATGTATCTTGTGCTTAACATAAATTATTCAACAAAAAATATATACAGTGTGTGTTGAAGAATGTAATGAATCCTAAAAAATTAAGAAAAAGTTCTGTTGGCAGGGAAGAATTCAACAAAACTGAGAGACTTAAATTGATTTACTCTAATAAAATCAAGACTATTTAGGTTTCTTAAGTTTAATGTGACATTTTTTGTGTGGACTCACGCGCAACTCAATGATCAGCTGGTCCTTGCGTTCCTTCAGCAGCATCATGTCCTTCTCATCCCAGCAGCGAGCTTTGGTGCGCAGGTCACTGGAGCCTCCAGAGATTGTACCTGACTTTGCAAACAGTGTCCCATCCAGAGAAACTGTCTACAGGAAACACAACAGAATACCATATCTACTGTCATTTTAATAACTACGAGCAGAAGAAATAAAGTTTCTTGTGCTTCTCTCTTTAACCAACTGGATCTAAATAATTCTGACTCCCATATCTGTGAGAGCAAAGCTTACCTTGAAGCGTTCCTGTCTGTCAAAGGCGATACTCCTGGCTTCTTTGATGGTTTCACACACCAGGGCACTGCCACAGACAAAATGCACCACTTTCCTCAGCTGAGCAGCAGCTGTGCCAGGATTGACTTGTATGACATCCACCACCATCTTGGCACCAGGCATCTCCCTCAGTCGCTCGTTCAAAGGATTCACCTGTGCAGTTCATTGACATACTGCAGGCATGCATGTGTATTTCTGTGACTGACAAAGAAATAAACTAACTCCTTACGCTGCTATAAAAGAGATTTTAACAGCTTTTTGGGGATTCTCCATTTTGAACCATCCTGCAAATGCATGTTTTCCTTTATGAACAGTTTCAACTTACCATCAAGTAGTCAACAGGCAGGAATGTCTCCGGTTCAGCTCTCTCCTCCTTGAGGAAAGTAATACAGTCAAGGGCTACTTTCTCTGATGCCACCACGATGGCACTCATATAGCGGCCAAACACCTTGGTTACAGCCAGCAGGTACTTCTTGTGGATAGGGCTGCACAGGTCACACAGTCGACCATACTGGGACAGGACATGACACAAATTAAATGATTAAGCCGTTTAAATGAAAGACCACAGGGAGGGGAGATGGGGGAACAGGGGCAGTGGGAGTGAGAAAGAAGGTAAATCTGGCATATCCTATCAAAACATGTCGACTAAGCACATATCAACCATCCTTCTCCATAATCCAGTACCTCACCTTTAAATTGTGTACTATCACTATATTAAGACAGACAAAGACTGAACAGTGAACAAGTTATGAATGATGGATGACTCTTGTAGTGGTTTGTAGTTATATTGTTGTGACTTCATCAAGAACAAGAAGATTTCTATTTGTAGCGATTTACAACTAGGTTTCAGTAACCTAAATTTACCAGGAGTTAAATGATAGTATCCATAATAATTATGGCTGTTTGTTTATTACCACAGTTGCAGGGAAGAGTCTGCGGAGCTTCTCAAGCAGCTCTTTGCGCTGCAGCTGTCGTTTGCTCTCCTGCCTGTCCAGACGGGCGTTCCCCAGCTCCTCCATCACCTGGTTCAGCTCCTGGTTCACCTCCTCGCTACGTTGGCTACCTTGCTGCAGTTCTGCACTCAGCCCCTCCTCCCGCTGACGGTAGTCCTCAAGGGATGACCTGAGTCATAAGCCGTGTTTACACATGAGCTATGGACAAAGCCTTGTTTTTCACATATGTAGCAGACAAATAGAGACTGTTTCAGACGTGTTCTTACAATCGGAAAAACTGACTTGACGCACATCAGCACACACGTTCCTTCATTATGTGTGACAATTACCTGCTCTATTCACACATGAGATCAACTGCACATTACAAAGATTTTGTACTGGCAGTTAGGGTTAATTCCATTCAATGGCTGGTTTAACTGATTTATTCGCATTCTCACATACATCTCCTACAAGAAAAGATAATGTCTGCACTATACGAGGTGTGTCAGAAAAGTTCCAGGACTGGTGTCACAAAAGATATATTTCAAATCCACACTACAAGTTTTCCCCTTCGAAGTAATCCCCTAGGAGGCTAACACACTTTCCCAGCCTTCTCTGCCACGCCGCCATGCACTCCTGGAAGGATTCTTCCGGGATCCTCCACAGCTCTGTCATCACAGCCATATTGATGTCGTCCACGTCTTCAAAACGGATCCCCTTGATGACCCCCTTGAGCTTGGAGAAGAGGAAAAGATCCCACAGAGCCAGGTAAGGTGAGTAGGGAGGCTGCTCCAGCACGGCAATGTTCTTCTCAGCCAGGAACTGTCGGATGCTCAGGGCATTGTGAGCAGGCACGTTGTCATGGTGAAGCAGCCACGACTTGTTCTGCCACAATTCTCACCTCTTCTTGCGCACTGAATGAAGCAAACGCCATGGGATCTATTTGTAGACGTGCTGGTTGATGGTCTGAAGGGAGGAACTGGTAGTTTGTAGTTTGAGCTTGAAATATATTGTTTGTGCCACCAGTCCTGGAACTTTTCTGATACACCTCGTATGTCCGAAAACAGCTATAAAGTGCTTTTATAATTAAGTATGCTCCATTTTGTTCTGAGGATATATTCTGATTTCAAGATGTACAATTTCTCAGTGATTAACAACCAGAAAGTTCCAATTAACGCCTACCTAAACATAAAAAAAAATGTATTAGGCTCAACATATTAGCATCTATGTAGCATTTAGGTTCAGTGGCTAATTGTACAGTCATTTGGTCTGAGGTATACACACATACATGCAGGTCTTGGTGTACTCCTCTAGCTTCTCTGCTCTGTGTGTCATATCTTCCAGCTGAGTTTGGCTGTTCCTGATGGAAACCTACAAAAAAAAGTTTAAAGTGTGGTAGAATTAGGAGCATATAAATCATAAATTCTGTAGTGTGAAATTTAGATAATTAGATATATGTGCTTTTCAACAGCTGTTTAATCTGTGGTTACTAAGTTCAGTGTATATGTAACACCAGCAGAAATGTATTACTGACCTTTACTTCCTTCTGTCTGCGCTGGTCGAAAGCCATCTTTTCGCAGTCCGCTCTCACCTCCCAGTGAAGCTTCTCTTCCTGCTGTCTGAGGATGGCCCCCTGTTTACAGGCCAGCTCCTTCAGCTCCTTATATCGCTCTAACTGTAATAGGTAGACACAAGAAAACATAATAAGGATGTTATGACTACATAGGTCTAAGCTGCCTGAAATCTAATACAAAAACAAAGACCAAAAAATGGAAGAAAAAAAAAGAAGCAAAAATGTAATTTAATTTTTGTCCATTGTGAATAGTATATTTAACTTCACCTGATCCTTATCTAGCTCAACGTCTCTCTTCTGGGCAGGTCCCGATTCTTTGACCTGCTTCTCGTAATGTCTCCAGGTCCTTTCAAGTTCAGCGATGTCCTGACGACCCTCTGCCAGCTCCTGCTCTTTAATAGCCAACAGCTTCTGACTCTTCCGTAAGCTTAAACGGGCCTCCTCAGCCTTCTTCATGTGATGAGAGGTGTTCACTTTGGCTTTGACGTACTGGGACCGACACTGGGAAAGGATATGCTCCTGTGTTCTATGTAACAAGGTGAAAGGACGCCAGTTAGTTCTGGTAAATAACAGACTTACACTATGCAATGACAAGTTGTAATATTGAAGCAATTCAGTCATACATGTTCAAACTGGAAACCGATTTTGAATAGTATTAATGATACAAGTTTATGGAATTGCTTTGTTAAGTTTGTAGCTTATGAAACACCTCAAGTCTAAATCCATGTTTTTGCTACAGCTTCTTGGTGGGAACACTCAGCTCACAACGTTGAATGCCTACTTTGCTCATAATGTGTCTCCCGGCATATAAAACAATACATATCCACACATGTTAATGAGGTTAAAAACCTTGATTGTCACGGGTGGGAGGTCTTTAACACAGCTTCTAAAGTTTTAATTGACACACAAGACAAAAACACAAACACACCGGATTTCCTTCTCGATGATCTGCTGCTCTCTCATGAGGCGACCATGTTCTTTCTTGTCGGTTTTGACCCTCCGCTCCGAGTTTACCAGTTCCTCATTCTTAGCAGCCACTGCTAGCTGTCTCTCCCTCAGAGTGTCACTGGAAGCTCTGTTGCCCTTTTCATTATGGTAAAGCTCAGCAAGAGTCAGTTGCATACGATTTTGTTGAAGATCATCTAACAATTCCTGGTATCTCTGGGCCTGGAAATACCATAAGGTGTGGTGAAGTCAACAGATGAACAGGAAAGACGAATTACAGCAAGTAAATTGCACTCCAGTTAATGCAGGTTAAGATGCCACTCATGTGATCACACATCAGAAATTTAGTACACCATCATGTGTTTCCTGCTGTTCTTTCCTTCACATATAGCATCAACAAAAAAAAGGTGGTAGGACATATCCCAGCATGGAAACAAGCATTGAGACCCATTAGAGAAACAAAATTAAAAGGAAACAAAAGTCCTTTAAATGATGAGGATACAGAACTGATTTAGCATCCGTACAAGTTACGCTGTGATTCTTGGACGTCAGTCATTCTTTGATGACATTAGGCTACACTCAAATGAGAAGGTAATATGTTGCATGTGTACTAAATGCTATCGGTGACTTTTATAGCTACATTATATAGACAATAGTCTGAGTAATTCAGGGATCAATATAGGAGGGATTGTTATCTTACCTAATAGTCGTTTTATTTACTATTATGTTTTATAGAAGAGGAATTGTGTCTGTTAAAGGTGTCTCTACAATTACAAAACCAACAAATCTAGCAAGAGCAACACTGGGATTGGCAACCTGTCACTCAATGTGTCTCATGGATATAAAGCAAAATTTTTAAAAAATGTGATTTTAAGAAGATTTTTGTTGATGTCTTTTTTTCAGACGACACAGCTGGGTCTGCCATTTAGAATGCAGAAACAGTGGTATGCAGTGATAGTACACCATTTGCTCTAGGCCGGACACTTAATTTTTCTGTAGGTGGTTATGAATATAGTTGACAAGTGAAATAGTTTCCTGTCTTTTCCTGATTTTAAGGATGGGGATGCACAAGCATGTATGGCAGGATGGACAGAAATTTTCTTTTTCTTTTGCGTAACTCCATTACCTCTATTTTTTCCTGGAACACCTGTTTTCTCTCTGCAGTAGCAGACTTTTTCATGTTAAAGTGAAACTGCGTGTCCTCTTTGGCTTTCAGCAGAGCCACTTTCTTCTTCTGGTATTCTGCAGCGAATTCCCTGGACTGACTAATGCACTCCAACATCTTGGTCCTCTCCTTTGGGTCCTTTAAAGCGATGGACTCCACTGCCCCCTGGTGACCAGCATAACGAGGGACATGTTCATGAGGCATTTTTACCATCAGCTTTTACCCTTCTGTTGTGCCTGTATCTAACATATCTTCCCAAAATCATGTATAGCATTAATGTAATGATAAGAAATAAGATACAACTTTTATTTCCCAGTTAAAATATTTAAATGACAGTTGACTGTAACTGTCATGTTCAATCATTTATTTCAGTCATTTTACCTATCATAAAGCAAGACAACCAATGCACCACAACAATTCATTACATGCTGCATACCAAAATTACATTTTTTCAATATATCTCTTGCATGAAATCTTTTTTTCCTCCTTATAGTCATTTAGCAGTATCTACAACATGGAAACTGCCTGACAAAAAAAAAAAAAACGAAATACAACAACATCTTCTACATCCATAAATATTGTTCAGGAAATATGTTTCACATTACAGTGCAGTCTCACAACATTTTACCTGGAACACCAGACAGTTTTGAGCTTTGGTCACAATGCCAATCTTCTGAAGCTCCTCCATGTATTTGGCAGAAGTCACATGTAAGCCATTGATGCAGTACTCAGAAGAATCCCCTTAAATATACAATGAAAAGCAGTTAAGACAGATCTGTCAAATATCTGTATTTATCCTGATACATAACATCTATAAGTCTTGTCTCAAGATAGTTTGTTGCCTGCTGTTTAAAGACAGTTTTGTAATTAACCGGTAATGTAATGTTCAGGAAGGGCTGCAAGGTGGCAAAGTTGGTAGCACTGTTGCCTCGCAGCAAGAAGGTTGCCAGTTCGCATCCCGGTGGGGGCACTGGGATCTTTCTGCGTGGAGTTTGCATGTTCTCCCTGTGCAGCATGGGTTCTCTCTGGGTTCTCCAGCTTCCTCCCACAAGTCCAAAAAAACACGTTGAGGTTAATTGGTAATTCTAAATTGTCCGTAGGTGTGAATGTGAGAGTGTTTGGCTGTCTGTCTCTAAGTGTAGCCCTGCCATAGACTGGTGACCTGTCTGCCCCTGCCTTCACCCTAAGTTGGCTGGGATAGTCTCCAGCCGCCGCCCCCCCTCCCCGCGACCCTAGTGAAGATTAAGCGGTGTATAGATGATGGATGGATGTAATATTCAGGTCATTTTTAGACTTGGGTTAACTACAGTACTTTGACAATGCACACGTTTGTGAATATACATCTACTAGTACCAACTGAACTTTTCTTGTAAAAAACTGTCTCTTCCTTGTACACAATTAGCTTCAGTAACTGTCAGTAAAATCAACAACAGTAAAACAAAAGGAATCCAAATAAAAATCCACTCTGCATATTATACTGACTGGTGATGGTCCGACTGAAGACGGTCTCTAGGTCCTGGTCGTCGCAGTACCGCATGGCGACACTGGCGGTGTCCGACACGGGCTGCCCGATGTGGGCTCCGTGGATCAGGTCCCGGAGATGCTTCACCCGCAGGGCGGCGGCCCGCTCCCCCATGGCGAAGCTCAGGGCATCCATCACATTGGACTTGCCTGCAGTGATTTTATATCATATCGCTGCATAACTCTTCTTTTTAAAATAATGTGTCACCATTAGCAGCCTAGTTATGTTAGCAACATTCACTATAACAATAACGTTTTGACGCTAAATTTAACCAAGAGACGCTAAGCTACCTCATCGTTTAGCTACCCAAGACATATTTTAACTGTCTTTTTAACCAATATACTTAACCCAATCAACCTATAATTATACCCTAATATATACATTGAGTTACATATAGTCCATCCTCTTAAAAAAGAGAAATATGCTCAAAACTATAGGACTTACAGAACTTTATCTGACAACAGAGTGCTGAGTGGGGCAGCAGCTAGCTTAAAATGAAACAAACGAACTAGCAGGTTCGTCAGCTAAGTTTAGCTAGCTAGAAAATGTGTGTTTTAAAATGAACTTACCAGAGCCATTTGTGCCAATTATACAGTTAAATCGCATGAACGGGCCGATAAGTTGCTTCCCTCGCCATGACTTAAAGTTTTCAACGTCAATTTGTTTCAGGTAACCCATCTTAAGGTGTCTGACTGCGGTGAGTCCAGCAGCTAATCCTCAGAGCAGCAAGCAGCTGAAGGAGGCAGGACTGAAGAGGCGGGAAACTACAGCAGTTCATAGTACGTAGTTTTAAACCTAGTCAGAGAGAGTCACATTTGACCAAAACACTACACTGAACAAAATATAAACACCGTGTGCATTACTTTATTGAATTATATGGGGGTTTTTTTTAACATTGGGGGAAAACTGTGTATCTAATACACAGCTTCTCTACAACACAATGGAGGCCATAAAACAAAGCACTTGACTGGAAATAATGACATTGTGAGCAGTGCTGGCCCAGGCCTCCAAGGGGCTCTAAGCAAAACATGATTTTTGGGGCCCTACACTAATGATGATAATACTGATCAATGATCATTCACACACCTCCTATTAACTTATTTCATTTTCTAATTTGTTATAACAAATACACTTGTAAAACTCGATGGGAGACTTCTTGTTAGATTGTAATCCACAGTGATAAAGGTTGTTGAAGCAGATTTGCAAACTAGCAGAAAAATCTTACTATTAATATTTGGTAAAAGTCAGCAACTCTCACTGCTGACCGCACAGAGAAGCAATATATAAAACCTCAAAGAGCTGCACAGTAGCAGCAGTGCTGTTTACAGCATCCTTTTATATACCAGGTATGTTTTCACCCATCTACAGTTTATAATCTGAAATGGTAGTAAATTCACCTACAGGAGAGGCCTGGGATTGATTTACACTTTATATTTAAAGTGATTTATTTCGCTGAGATATTGAATGTCATAGGTCCACTAAAAGTAACAAAATAAACCAAAAGTCATCCATGTTTGACGTCATATTATCCTTGAAATTACAAAGTCTGTTTTGTTGTTAACCTACCAGGTAAATCAGCTGAGGTTATATCAGGAACAGGGACAGAAGGTACAGTGGGTAGGGGTGAGAGACAGAGCTCTTTAGAAGATGCAAGACACAACAACAACAACAAATGTTAGCCATGTTAGATGTCATATGAGACATTAAATATGAAAATTCTTACTCCATTGTGTTTTTACTTGCAAATATATTCACATGATGTGCATTTATCTAAAAACAAGTCTCTTGTCATGTGAATATGTATTAAAGGAAAGCTTAATGACATCATTTGACTAAACATGTGGAGCAAGCCGACAAACAGGAGGAAGCTACAGCCAGGCAGCATCACAGGAGTGGGCTGAGCGGAGCTACTGACAGATAAGTTCATAACGTGACATTAACAATGACTCAACATGTCTCCTGTTTCACTTTAGCTCTCTTTGCCATGTGTCAGGATGACTGACGCGTATTTCGTTGCGTTGGTCATACTTTTCATTTACTTTGCATTGCTAAAGTTGTGCTAACCAGTGTCCGAAATCACCCACTCATTCCCTACTCCCTACTCCCTATATAGTGATCACTACATAGTGCACTATGTAGTGAACTATATAGGGAGCACCTCAGCTAAGTAACATTTCAGACACTACTCAAGCTAATAATTACGTCGATTTGTGCCGCAACAGCGTAGTACAAACACGTCAAATTCACAGTTTATTGCGTAACTAAGAAATCAAATTAAATCAAGTTTATTTTCATTTTGCTGTACATACCAGATGAGAGAGTGTTTCTTCAGGATCCAGTAACTTAAAGCAATTTAAATAAAGTGGTGTAGTATGTCCAAATCACAACCGAGTGCCGCAATTTTAGCAAGGTTCACTGTCCGGGTAAAATAAAATTTAACAAAACAAACAGGAATTTTTCGTGCTCTCCTTTGTCTCATTTCCATTTCCTTTCACGCAATGCATGACAGTCCATATTGCTCGGTTAGTGACCATCAGCTGTACACTACTTTTCACGGTGCATTGTGGGATATTTTGAGTGCACTATATAGGGTGTAACATTTGTAACTTAACATTCGGACGCCCCTACAAAATGGCGTGCACCCTATAAAGTGCACTATATAGGGCACAGGGAGTGATTTCGGACACAGCTCGTCTGTTTATGGTAGCAATAGCTTCGCTGTAGTTATGCCAACCTAGCATAGCGTTAGCTAACAGCTTAAAAGCCAGTAAGTAACTGCAGAAATAACGTAAGTATACAAAACATTTGAGAGTACAGAACGATTGTTCATCACTCCATCAGCTTGTTATTAATGATATCAATGTTAATTCAAATGCTAAAGGTATGTTTTGATTATCCATGAATCTAACAGTGTAGATAAAATGTATGCAGGACTTAATCATTGAGCTGCTTGGCGAAGGTCTGCACTCTAGTTGGATCTAATTTTCTACACTTCCACAATTTAATTTAGCAGACGCTTTTATCCAAAGCCACGTACGTCTGAGAGCGAATACAACACAAGCAAGGATTTAGCCAGGAGAAAACAATCTAGATATGTGCCAGTTTTACAAATATGTTTCCAGTATTAAACACGAATTTACCTGTTTCCTCAATTAAATAAAAGTGAAACATTTTTGAAATTCTCATCAATATGCCAATGTATTTTAACATTCTTTTTTATGTCAAAACTATTTATTTTTCTTAAAAAATAGAAATTTCATGGTTATTCACAATTAAAGATTTTACTTTAGATTGACCAAATTTTGTAATTTTTATTACATTTTTGTTTGTTCTGAAAATACAGAATTTAAAAAAAAAATAATTGTTTTTTTTAATTAGTTTATGAGTAGAGGTATACAGTAGAAGAAAATTGGGATCTTTCAGCACATCAAAGAAAATAAGTAGTTGAGTAAATGTGCATAGTTATTTTTGCAAAAGAAAAAAAAAACAATAAAAGCATGAGAAATTAAATGGAGGAGCCTCTGTGTCAAACACTTGTGGGTTTGAGAACTACAATCATGGCGATACACATCCATGACAATAATCTGTGCCAGTCACGTGACCGCAGCATCACTCAGAGATAAGGTCTGTGTGTGCGCCTTTAAGAGCCGCATATCCTGCTGCCTCCTGCACTAAATCTCCATCGCTGCTCTGTGAGGGCGAGAGAGAAAAAAACACACACACAGAAAAGACGGAGAAAGCCTCGGTGATGTCGGCCAGCTCTGCTTTCAACGATGAGAAGGGAGGCTCGTCCAGCGTCGGGGAGCCTGAATATGGTCACGATCCGGCGAGCGGAGGGATTTTCTCCTCCGACTACAAAAGGTACGAAGCCACCTGGCGCGGTGCTGCTTTTTTTTTGTTTGCCATATTGTGGGGGTCTACCGAGGGAGCTTACAGGGGGGGAGGTGCTCTTTCCTGCCTCTTAGGATGCATAGAAAGTGTATTTTAACACGAGTGGACGGAAAGCTGTTTGAAAGCAGAGCAGAGTGAACTTTGTTTGCTGTGAGGCCCGTGATTGAAGCGGCGTCGTGAATCTGTGGCGGTGACTGGTCCGCTCCGGCAGCAGTGGTGGGCCGCTGCTGCTGCTGCTAGCATGTAGTCTCATACATGTTCATTTCCTCATGTGTGTGTGAGGCAGCTCTGGGCTTTAATGTGTCCATGTTGGTGAGGTTCAAATGTGAGAGGCCTGTCAGAGGGGATGCCAGGCCTCAGCTCCGGCTTTCAGCACCACCCCTGCTGGACAGCGGCAGCAGCTCCGCACACACTCCGCTGTCAGTCATGACCTTATTCTGTAAGGCTGCTCGCTGTCTCAGGATGTCCTTGTTCTTGTTCTGGGGGACACTTTAGTCCTTTCTGTAACAGATATACTGCTCAGTAGCCACAGAAACCCCATAAAAAATACAATTGTAATTTAAAAATTGCATTGTCTAACAATTTTGTGTCATTACTGGTTAACATGCTAAATATTTTCCTGCATTAAGTTATCATCAAGGTCAGGAAAAAGTTACAAAGAGTTCAAAATAGCTCCCCCCTTGTAACCATAACCACATGTGCTGTTTTTCTATGTTAAAAGATACATCACAAGTGGAGTAAGAAGTCAGCACCACGGCTGAGTGTTTCCCTCTTAAAACTACAAACTGTCTCAAAATGACACGTTCAGGCTTTTGAGGGTTTAAAAGGAACAAAACCTAAAGAACTTATCCTTTCAACATGCAGGGTTTGGAATTTCTGTTCTATCATTCAGAATTGGTTTCCAGTAGGGCTGCATGATATTGAAAGAGAGTTGCGATATTGTCTTGCGATATGAAAAAAATACAGGAAATTATACCAGAGGGCTTCAGTGACTCTGTTTGGAAAGTAGCATCTATTGTAGGGGGTTGTTTTGTACTGGCGTGCATCTGCAAAATTAAAATAAAAGACTGTTTGGAACCTTTCTCCTGTGGTGTCACACTGGCATCCAAAAGGCCTGACATCTAAACTAGATCTGGGCTTTGCACTCGTCATTCTTCTTCAGAATTGGTTTCCATTTTGAACAGGTATAGCTGAAATACCCAAATATTACAGTCAATTCAATTCAATTCAATTTTATTTGTATAGCGCATATTTACAACAACAAGTCATCTCACAGCTTACCATTGTGTAGCAAAGAGTAGTTTTTGTGCAGTGTTTGAGCAGAGTCGAGGGGAGCTGGTGTGCTCGAGCCACAGCAAGTAGTGAAAGATGAGAGAGGAGCATAGATGTGCACTTTTTAAATAAAGCAACAGTGTAGAGTCACATCTGAGCTGTTTTAAAGCAGGAAGGGATTATTTAGAGGCATTTCTTAATCTGAGAGAGAAATTAGTTTTAATGTGTTTATTCGATGACAAGAGAGAAACTTTAAGATGCTTGTTGAGTCCAATAGATTCTTAAAATATTCCATTTACCATGATGTAAGACAAGTATGACATTTCGAAGGGCCACTGATATTTTGCAAATATTTTGACATTTTATTGCAGTAAAAGACTCTCTGATGTGATGTTTGAGACATATCTATGTTAAACGTCACACTCTTCTCTCTTTTTCCTCGTTTCCTGTCCAGATCTACTGTCCAATCTAATGCGGGTGAAACAGTCAAAACAATAACCTTGTAATATTTATCTTTCAAAATATATATGCCAGAGCCCACTACAGTAGTACTTAACGTCTAAGTGTTTTACAGTTAGAGGGCAAGATACAGGAGGCCGTTACTGTTATGATGTATTTTATTAGTGTTTGTGGCTCATAAAAAAGGAGGATATTTTTGGGATGCTTAAGCCTTTCCACCCTGGAGGTCCCAGACTAGGACCAGAATGTGTCTCTTATGCAGCCTGCCACCATTTGTAGAAGGTTTCCAAGCATGGCTGCATAGTATGACTATGAGTAATGTGGGTGTAGCGATGTTGTGCTTCATTTATGGTCCATCAAATATGGTTGAGTTGTAGATGCGAATTTCAATAACATAAGTGTCACTGGCTGATTGTTATAGGGCTTTGATTTACTTTCTTATTTAGGTTTGATTATCTATCTATACACCGCTTATTAGGTGGAAGTAAAGTCTCACTCTGGCCTGGTGACGAGGACAGAGAGAATTCAAAATTCCAGTGTTGCTGACTTTGACCTCACCATCTTGGACCTGTTACTGACTGAATTCAACTGTGTGTTTTTTGGGGTTAAAGTTCAAATCACAGTCTGGAGCTGAAGGAGTTAAATGGAATACAAGGGAATCATTTGGTGTAAATAGAGCTGCTGTAAGAGGAGAGTTGTAAAAGACAGTTTGTAGATCACAGACAAGCTAACTGAGACTCAGCTGATTCTCATTTTACTGGAGTTTATTGATCATTTTGTGCACAGTTTGCATATAACTTGAGGATAAAAACAAATTATGGTGAGCTTCTGAGGAAGGAGAAAAGTCTAAATCGATGCTGTTCTCAAAATAAAAAAGTTTTTTTTTCATACTGGTTGTTTCTATTGCAATATGATGGCATTAGGGATCACAGATGAGACAATAATTGGTTGCCGGGTCTCTTGTTGGAGCAGCTAATGCACACAAACAGCTGAGGAGGCTGCTTCAGTTTTTCACAGCAGATGTTTTGACTTGACTTGTCAATGTAGCTATCATTTTGTTATTTTAACCTGGTGTGTCTCCTGTAAAACTATTATGAGCAATAGCCAGTATTTGTTGTACAGCTTCATTTATTAACGTACAGACACCTATGTATCATTCACATGTGTTAAAGGTCTTCCACAGTTGCTCAGGTGTATTCAGTTATTCTGGCCTATTATAAACAAGACATTTGCAGTTAAAATGACAATATTAGTGTCAATTTAAAAAAAGACATTTGTCCTTCAGTGTTTACAGGGTATACTTGTATCCAATCAGATGAAGCTGTGGGTGGGATGTTGCTTGAGAACCCATAAGGACTACAGATGGACAGAGGCGGCTGCATCAGAGCTAAAGCAGTGCATTTTAAAATAATTGATGTTATTTGGAATCAGACAAAAAAAAAAATAGGGATACCCATTATTGCAAGAATGCTGAATATTGGATCCAATAATCGGCCAGGCTGGTAATCAGTCGACCTCCACATTAGACTCTGACTTCGGTTGAAATAGTCGTTTTTCCCAGAGGACGACTTGTAACAGTATGAAAAACACAGGTGTAAGTGTACAACTTTCATTTTCAGGAAGTTTCAAAGCAAGTGTAGCAAAGCTTTACCAAATTTCCAGAAAGTCCACAAAAAATAAGCTGGTCAAATCTTATAGAAAACTTGTTCTGTTTCAATTAATTTGATAAAATCTGGTGTTTTCATCTTTCACTTTGTCTTGTCTCTTTATGAGACAAGAAGCAAAAGTTTCAAATATGTCAGGATTTGTTTGTTTCTTTGTATGGAGCTGTTTTGGGAAAATGATTAGAAGGGGGACTGCAAGGTGGCGCAGTTGGTTAGCACTGTTGCCTCGCAGCTAGAAGGTTGCCGGTTCGCGTTCCGGTGGGGCCACCGGGATCTTTCTGCATTTGCATGTTGTTCTCCCCATGCAGCATGGGTTCTCTCCGGGTTCTCTGGCTTCCTCCCACAAGTCCAAAAACATGTTGAGGTTAATTGGTGATTCTAAATTGTCGATAGGTGTGAATGTGAGTGTGCTTGGTTGTCTGTCTCTAAGTGTAGCCCTGCGATAGACTGGTGACCTGTACAGGGTGTCCCCTGCCTTCTCCCTAAGTTGGCTGGGATAGGCTCCAGCCCCCCCCGCGACCCCAGTGAGGATTAAGCGGTGTATAGATGATGGATAAGAAGGGGTTAAATTGCCATGTCTCCAGCTCTGGTACATTCATTCTTCAATATCATATGATCAACTTCACTATATCCATCTTCAACAATGTATATAAATTTACAGTTCTTTGCCTTAATAATTCACTGAGACAATAGCAATGCTTAAAAATAGATTTTCATTAGGTCTAGTAACTCTAGACTAAGAGCAGCTGTACAATATACAACAGCATCTTGCAAATATAAGGTGTTTTAACCTGTATGCTGTCAGTGTTGTTCACTGAAAGCCACCTTGCAGATGATGTTTTGTCAGTCAGACAGCAGAGATACATAGATGGCAGGAAAGACAGGGAGTGAAACAGGTCAGAAAATGACACAGGGACAGTGTTTGGTTGAGTAACAACATACTTGTGGATTTGGACTAAATGCTAGTCAACTAAGACACACTGGAGTCCTCCCTTACTAATATGTATCATACCATTATATATATTATATAATAATATGATTCATTTAGATTATTATTCTCTGCTCCTTTGGTGGCAGCAGACATTCCTATATGTGATACTGATCCACATTCAGGGCGGTTGTCTGTGCAGATCAGACCTTGTTAATGACATAAATCGTAGCCTGACTCTTCAACATATATAAATTGTATTTGGTCCACATGTAGATATGTTTTACCTGTACACCCATGACAACGCTGAACCTACAGAGTCCAGTTCAACCCCAGATGATTTGCCATCTTTACCACATGAGCCAGAATAAAACACCTGGAAGTGATCTTAGATGTAGATTCTGTAGCTGTAAATATTCATAAAAGTGGTTGGATGCAAACAAATTGTCATGTATTACGAGGAGAACTCTATAGAGCAGAACCATTTCTAATATTCGTATTTCCACCAGTGCTTTTCTTGTAGTACAACAAGCTGTGAAAAACACCTGCACACGGAGCAATGCACGGAGTTATGTGAGGTCTCTAAACTACATGTAGCCATAATAATGATAAAAGCTGTGAGTTCCTGCTTTAGAAAGTGCAACAGA